GATTCCCAAGGTTATTTGTTTCAGATTCGCCATTCAGTTGATAAGTATAAGCATTTGTTCGTATTTACCATAGAAGACATGAGAAGCACACATTTCATACAGGTATTACTAGCCCATTCTCTATCGCTGTCTTTTTTTCTTCCTTTCCTGATCCTGTATCACCATTTTAATTGCTGTGAGCTGCCTCTTTCAAGGGATTCAAAAATTCCAAGAGGCTCCGCCAACGCCATTCCAACATGGTGGGGCATTTCAGTGCAGACCAGCCACGGTAGTGGAGCTCAGTGAACAATTTTCATCAGTGTAGTGGCCTGGGAAAGGCATGTGCAGAACAGTTTATGGACCTGCCCCGGAGTCCCTTTTCCTTGGCTTAGACGAAAATCCTCATCACTTAGCTTGTAGTCGTTCCTTTACCTCTTCTAGCGCTTACTACCACCTTCATGCGAGAAATTCGCGCTAGCGCTAAATATCCCTACATTCGAAACACTCGACTACCGCCTCACTTTATAATGCAGGCCAGATTTTCAGCGGTAATTTTTTCCAAATATCACGGCGACAAAACCGGTCTGTGAATTTGACGGCCATAGCACGAATTAACAGGCGCTTGGTTGGCGGTTGCTTTTGACTACTGAGGCATTCTTGTTCAGGTAGTCAGAATAACATGGGAGGGGGGGGGGAGGCTGGGACTTCGTATAAATCTACCACCAGGACAAAATTTCGACCAAATCTTGCCTCGATTTTGATGAGTTGGGCAGCAAAGCAGGAAAAAATTCCTGTGTTCCTAAGGAAATCACGTAGAAACAAAACTTCGTTGAAGCATTGCCGAACTGCCTGCGCAGAATTGGGCTCACCGTATTGTGACGAAATATTGCACCAGTATGCTCCATCGAGTGGAAATATGGCTTGCTTCGCTTTTGAGTAATGCACAAGATTTATCTTGAGGTACGACAGCGATTCAAAACAAACAGCAGATTTTTCTTCGGAAAGAACAACGTGATGGCTATAGCGTTAGGAAAAGACGCTTCCTCAGAGTATGCCCCAGAGCTTCACAAGGTCAGTAAAAATTATGGTTTTTATGATGGATGATTGGTATATGTTTCCGTTTTAGGTGAGTCAGCGGTTGCAAGGGCAGTGTGGTCTCATGTTTACATTGTTATCAAGAGCCAAAGTTAACAGGTATTGTCTGCTTTGGATTGAAAAAAAGTTTTTTAATATAGACGCTCACGTAGGACGTTTGGCGCAGAGTACTTCGGGGAGTGAAACTGTACTGATTTATGAGTCTGCGCTCAAATAGTCCGCAATTTCTGCGGGAAGGAACTTTCGGGTGGTTGAATCCTTGCCTTCTGTGAGACACTGTAATGCGGGTCTCTACCACGCCCCCCCCCTACGCCCTCGAAATTATAGGTTACAATAGTGCTACTGGAAAACTGATGACTGCCTCCCCCCCCCTTCCCCCCTCGAGTACCTAGCATCGAATTCTTTGTGCTTTGTTCCTGTTATAGTACAGATATTTCTTCTTTCGGTAGTTAATGTTGTGAATATTTGTTAATTAAGCAATGCAGTACCTATTATTTCAGCATTCTTAAAGAGCTGTCAACTCCTGACTTTGCTCGGGCGGGTCATATCCCTAAGGAAACTATCACGGTTCCGGAAGGGCCTCTGCCTCAGTTTGCATTTTCAATGGAGCCACAACTTCGAAAGTTGGGATTGCCAACGAAACTCGATAAAGGTGAGGCGATTTGATTTGCAGTTTCCGTTGAGAACCAAAATAAATGTCATGACCTCTCTATCGAGGATATCTTCCTCATTCAGGGTATATCTCTTCAATAGGGAAGTTCTCAAAACACGACTCAGCTCAGTCTCCGTCGAGCGTTTGAGGAGAGGAAGTGTGTAACGGTCAGGACGTGTTGTACGTTCCTGACCGTTACACGTACGTTAGGCAATCCCCAGGCGAGGGTCCCGTTCAGCTGTTGGAGGGAGAGTGGTCGTGTTTGATCTGAGAAATTTTTCTCTCAGTGATTTTTCCTGTCAGGCGCGCTATCCACAATGTTTAGAGACTACCATTCGGGAGGTTCATAGGTGGTATGTTGCTCAAGTTTTCCCCATCGTCAGAAATTGCCTTGATAGCGGCCAAAATGAATGATGAAAAATTTTATCAGGCCGAATACACGGTCCATCCTTTCCTTCTTCCATTGGGGAAAGGTTGGGGAGTCTCCAACGATGATGTACCCTATCCTTATCGCCGAGCTGTAGTGTTTTCGGTATCAGCTTTGCCTAGGAACTGTAATCAATTAGTGTTTTTCTTCTCTTCGCCTGCATGAACAGAAATGGACACTTGGAGAGCGTACAGCTTCCCTAAACAATTACTGAGTGCCAAAATGCTCTAAACATCATAATTGTTAAGATTAGTTCCAAAGATGGTTAACTACAATGTCCCATGTTCGCTTCCCTTTCCCTTTTAAAACTCCCATCAAGACGAGACATTTTTAAAATTTTCCTACCTTACCTCTGCCTCCAATCAAAACTCTTTTTCAGGAGCGATTACGTTATATCAGGACTATGATATTTGTAAAGAAGGAGAGCCTCTCACTGCAGAACAAGCAAAGGTGATTGCTAATGATCGGTTTTGTTCCCTTTACTACAATTTCTAAGGTCTATATATCACTTGAATTTAAAGGCAAAAGTAAGTGGCTTTATCCAGTATCCACGTACACTGAATGGGATCAAAGAATTCAGTGAAAGTAGGGAATGTAGTACGACTGATGTCCACCCCCTTCCCCCACCATTTGCCCCCCCCCCCTTCTACCACCGTTTGCTTTATCCCTGTAAGTCCCAACTGTTTTTGGGTCTTAAGTTGTTGATAATGAAGGAAGGACAGGGTGCTTGCATCGAAGTTAGTGCGATCCCTCTTCGTTCTTCATGAATGTCTGTTATAAAATTTGGTGTCAGTCCTAGGGTAAATGGTAAAACGCTGCAGTGAGTGTATCCTTAGCTCTTCAAAAACAGTAGAGCAGCGCTTGTTTCAATAATTTCGCCTTTTGGTACCGCTCATGCGCAACGAGTTCGGCGAATCCGCGCAATTCAGAGAAAAGGACTGTACGTATTGATTCGAAACTTCTCCAGAAGTGTCGCAGAGTACGGATCAAGCGACAAATTTTTTATCTACTATTAGTTGCATATTCTTCCAATTCGGCAACTCGCCCGCTTTCCATATCGATAAGTATGCATCGATTCTTTAAAGTCGTTGTCTATGGACGCTTCACTCCTTTCTCTTTCTCTTCTTTGGCTTCGTCTCAATCCTTCCATCCCATTGTTCCTTATATCAGCACCACATTTTTGCGGCTGTTATCCTCTTTTTAGATACAATTTTCTTCAGATTCTCAAACTGTTCGATCACAAGTTGGCTGAATTTAAAATTAACATCGTTTCGCAATGGGATAAAGAGGACGGCTTCAGGAATATCTCGAAGAAAGATAATAAGGAAAGGCTTGACAGTATGACAGCTGAAGAGTCCTAGTATTTCTTTTTGCATATCTCATTGTTATCCATACTTGTTGATGTTTTGTTGCGTTTTGATATTTTAACAGCTTGTTACGTTCTTTGTTGAATTCCTGCTCCGTTGAATACAAAATGTTGGCCAATACATACTATTTGAAGGCTTCTTCATAAATTAGACTGCAGGACAAAGGAGTAAAAATGGGACTCCGTATACCTGTTCTCGTGCAGAGTCGTGCATATGCTGGTTATCAAGGGGATTCCAACATCGCAGTGATTCAGGACTAATGGTGTCTGAAAGGGATGTAAGATCAATATTACGCATATTGTTACATTTTATCCATCCAAAGCGAACTCAATGAATTATCTGGTACTGCCGCATTAAACGCGCTGAGCGTTTAGCGCCGGTGTTCAGCAGTTGTTTCGCTTCAATTCCTTGGGTCTCTACCGCGATATCAAGCCTGCTTGAATAGCTTCGCTACAGTGTACCGCAACAACTATTCCTTTTTGCGGGCATTCCAGTGTTCAGCCTTACATTATTTGGGTGGAAAATGAGAAATATGGTAGAACACAGATTTGGTGCCATGCCAAACCCAGCCTCACCGACAAGCCCATAATCTGCAGCGAACAAGACTGTAGTAATTTTGGCACCATGTAGCAAAAGTATACTCGGAATCCCTGAGATCGGGATAGGCGTGGCCGCATGTTTCAACTTAACCTGAAGGTGTCTATGCTTCTGGTGAGATTTTCATGACACAATTGTTGTCGTGTCTCTGTCCAACACAGAACAAGATGACAGTTGTCCCAGACTGGAATATTCCACGAGTAACCAATTCCGTGCCATGTTCAAATGCCACGCCTACTCTGCTTCAGGGACAAGGAGTGTAAAAGCACACAGGCTCGATACCGTTGCAGGCACCAATGTACTGAAATACATTTTAGTGGGAAGCCGTAGCTCCAATCCCGCGACGTATTCAGTATAAAAGCTTCACGAACTTTATTACTATTCAGGTAACTAGAAGCATCGAAACAAGCCTACGTCCTTCATGTACCGTAACTCGAATTGTTTAGCTGTCCTGGTATCTCTTGGGCAATCGCATTTGCCGTGTCCTGAATGGTTAGGCGGAACGCGCAATAGATGTAAGACTACTATGCAAGTTCTTGGACATCAGGTTCGAAGCATGTTGACGGGAAGAAAAAGATCAGAAGAGGCACCATTCCATCTTTAAGAAATATCCTCCCACTCCGATATCCGAGACAACCACTTCTAATTAAAGACAGCCCCCGCACTCAAATAATTAATGGTCGTATTTGCAAGTAATCCAGTGCCCGAGCTAAGAGACTGTCCTACTCTCGCGACTCCATAGCGAGCGAGGAGTGTGCTACAGCCGCCGAAAGTTCCAGTTCTAACACCCGCTCAGTTGGACCGCCCACTTGCTAGATGTCCTCTCCACATCTGACGCAGGAGCCGCTCAGTTGTTCTCGTTGGAGCGGCGGGCATTAATCGGAATTGCACTGCTGACCGCGCTCCTTTATTACATTTTATTCATTAGGAGCACATACAGTCAACTGCAACCCATCTCGCAAGGTAAAACGCGTAAAATCACCAGTGATGCAATTTTTGGTGCAAAAGCTCGACTGCACTAAAAGATGCACGCTACCGTAATCCTAAATTCTGTTACGAGTTTCCCGTCGGTTTTTGTTTTTCGTATTCGTTCCTTTGCACTGGACCATATTTACTACTGGGAGATGCGAAAAAACGATTTGTGAGCCAGGCATTGCACAGAGACTGCAGGGCGGTGTGATTATCAGGGAGCAATCTTTTTATGGTGTTTGATGATTTTTCTGATTTTTTTCCTCTTTTTTGGAATAACTTATCAGCTACTGCTTCATAACTGAGCAACAACTATCCATGACACTTAATCGTGGGAGCTGCCTTTACCCATTTGCTTACGGTGTCCTCTTCCCATCCTGAGCACACTCCGTCCCTTCCTTCCTTCTTAGCGGCGAGCTATTTTCGTGCTCGATATTTGCACTTAATGTGTGTGTAGAGCGAATTTCGAGCATAACCTTTATTACCTATTATTAATGTTATCTAACAATGCTCTAAAAGAGAATATAAAGGAGAATTTACACTGCGTTTGGCCTCGAGCAGGGCGAATCTCATAGACGCAGATAAAACTCGCACACATATGATACAAGTCAACGATAAAATCTGGGTTGAACGTCAGTTTCTAACCACTAACGCTAAAGGGAGAATCGCACGGACGAGCAAAAAAAATCGCACGGTAAATGGCAGCCTCAGAAGGCTTACACAACATTGGGAGAGGAGAAAAAGGAAATTCTATATAAAAATAAGGTGCTATATGAAAAACATAATATATAGAAAGAATATTTGAGTGAAAATCTGTTGATAAAGGATTTTCGAGTAATGGTAAAACTATAAGCTATGATTATACAAGTAGAAGTGTTGCAAAACAGCCACATCATGGGGTGACAATTCGAAACACATCTTCGATCGATCTACAAAACGATAGTACTGTGGTAACAGTAGGTTGATAAAATCTGTAACGATCGATGAAAATTGCTTACAGTGGTAAAATATGCTATTACTACTACTCATGCTACTAAATCTATTACACTAGACATGGTGAAATTAACTATGAGCTATGCTAAAAGTGCGCCTAAGAGAAATTGGATGAATCGCTCCATGTTTAAAACTGCGGCGATTCAGGCGGTGTCGTCTGCGCACGAAGGGCCTCACTCGGCATGTCTGAAATGCCAAGTTATTTCTGAACAAATGTGGTTACATTTTCATTTTTTTTCGTATATCCGGAGAAAGGTGAAATTTCCTTTAAAAACTGAGGATGCTCCAAAATATGTCCCCCTCGTTATCTCGTCAATTCTCCAATTCTGCGCGTCTTTACTGTGCATTTCTTTGCTGTCTTGAACTAACAATGTCGTTAAGGTTCGTATCGAGGGGTTTTCGATTCTTCATTCGTGCGTATCCAATCCTCGCAACGATTTCACGATTCTTTGGATCGATTCATACACTTCCTCAGAAATGTCTTGCGAATCCCGCAATTGCCCGGTTCTGCAGTGTCCCAAAGAATGATTGCGGCTTCAACAGGCGTATCCATGGGAGGCGTAGATGGTGTGGTGGCAAAAGACACGCTTACTACGCGCACGGTCCGGGATATCAAATACTGGATCGCCCCCCACCCAAGCCAGTCAAGCCCTCACCCTCACGGAACGGTAAGTTGGTATCAGATTGGCGTCGGATAATAAGAACATTGACCTGTACATTGGATGACTCCCCCCACTCCCGTGGATGAGGTACTCTGCAACTTCACTGTGGTTAGGGTGGGTGCATGCGGCGGACCGTCCTCTGCGTTGCCACCGAGATAGTAATCTCTTTTCGTCTTCTGACGCAGCATTAGAAGAGCAGAGGTCTGCGCGGCTTCACCGAACCAGCAGAGAAGCGGATACTCGCGCTACCCTTTCCGAACCAGAGTACCGTCGACTCGCAGGCTCGAATCAGAAAAAAAACTTCTCATCTATACAAAAGTGAGATTACTGTTTTGAGATTTGATAATAATAATAATGATACGAACATACTCTTTGGATGGTCAGCCGATACACGCATTGACTGGAATTGACCATTCAGCGACATGACAGCACGCGGAGCCGCGCGCACGAAACGCCCTCCCTGCAAATTTTAGAGCGATGAGCGAGTGACTGCACGTGTGGTGCCACTCTTCGAATTTATCTATTGAATGGCACGGTATACCATTTTTGCTATACTTGAAACGTCACAGTATCGCAAGCCAACATGCAACAAATCAGATTTTCTCACATGCAAAACAAAATAAAACGCTCGCCAACCGATCGTTGTCGCCTTGGTGGCCTTTTCGTGGCATTTCTTCCCGAGTTGCACAGACGGTTGTTCATTCCGGCCTGTGCATCAAACTTGCAGTCGCCACACATCGCATCAGTTGGTAAAGCCGGCTGACCCTCTACACGATCTCTTGACGGCTCTTTTAAGGCTGCCTTTACATTGACAGCATCGTCGCAGAACATAATTGACTTCCTTTGACTATCCTTTCTATTCGGAGGCGAATCTTCAAATTCTCTTTTCAGACCAGTGTTCCAAGTATCACCAGAACTTTCCTGAAATGCTGAACAAACAGCATGCACACAAAACTGCTAGGCATCTACCACAGGTAATCCACTGGACGTGCCACAAAGGTCCACGACAGTGGTGGAATGACCCAGTAATGACCACGTCCCCAAGCATAGGGCGCGTGACGCGATGTGAACTGAAGCGCAGCCAGTGCAGTTCTATCCACCGAGGGTAGACAGCTGAGGGTGGCATCATTGGTCGGAGAAGCCGCACCGGCTGCGCTCTAGACCACACCCTATCAACGCCACGTCCTTCGCAAGGATCGTAACCGTATCATACATTGACGATCACTGAATTCGCTAGCCGTTATGATCGTGACAGTTCATTTCTCAGTCGTTAAGGGTGAAGGAATCTTGCAACTCCGCGATTACATTCACGCGGTGAAGACCAGCACGATCGTGGGCATTGTGGACGTCAACGTCATCGGTGGCAAAAGCCTAGCATTTGAAACACACAACATTCATCATGCGGCATGCTTGGTTACGTGCAGGGATCTGGTCATCAAAAGTGACCCAGTATTACTTCATAGTCCTAAACCATCGAAAAGCAGGAAACTGACCATCGATTACCTCCTGGTCTGACCCAAATTAGTGAAAATCACAACGAGAAGCCAAGCAATTTTAGTGGCCCATCCTCAGCGCAGCATTCATTTTTTAAGCTCAAAATTAGTAACAACCACAACCACTTGTGACAGCATTCCGACATGGGGCTGCGCAGGCACATGGTCAGATTTTCTTCAAAGGAAAAACAGCACAAACGGAGGGGCCGCAGAGTTGTCCGAATAGCTTCTCAGTAAAAGAACCTAAGTCTAGTCCATAAATGACTTCACTACACAGGTGATCAATACGTTCACAATCACGTCTACCTCATACACCACCTGTGGAGTGCCTCCGTGATGCGGTGATGGGGTGAAGAGTCCCTGAGCGATTGGCGGTGAGTCGTGTGGCGGCTGTTGAGCTGGCGGAGGTGTGTATTCGGCACCACCATACAGAGGTGCAGGGGCCGGCGGAGCTCCATTACTGTACATCATTTGCATGTTCGCCGCATCGCCAGCAGCTGCCATTGGGGTGTTGTTGTAGTAGAAAGTCTTAACAAAAGACCATTTTGTAGAATGAATGCGACTATCAATGCGTGACGCTTAGACCTGCTGGTATGGAACTCCGTGACCGTCTGTAGTGGAGAAATATGGTGCCGAAGGTACGGAAGCCACGTGCGAATTGTAAATGTTCGTAGGAGAACCGCGTGGGTGCGCGACGACTGTAGGGGTTACCTAAAACTGCCTCTAAGTGCAAATCTGACAACTTACAAGCCAGTGCGCATATGGCGATATGCGAGACAGCCTCTGGAGATGCGCGGCCATGGGGAATAAAATGAAGGATTTACTGAATGATTAACTGAATTCTTCTCAAAAGTTAAAAAAAAAACAGCAGGCATCCGTAGAAGCGATGTCTCCTTCCAACTGTAAGGACATTGTAGCTAGAAACTAGTGGCAATTAGGTGTTCCTGTCAGTCCGTGACTCCACTACTCGGACACTGTGGGTATAATCAGGCGCCGTGTGGCTGCAGTCGGGCACACGGATGGCCATGTGGTGTGGCTGTGGGGTACCGCTAAGTCAGGAGACGGCAGAGGCTTCAGGAACAAGCCATAAGGACGATCTGACTTTACTGCAGCCCACTTGAGTCATGGGGGCGCTTCTGAAGATGTGCACCTCACTATCAAAATCACTCCTATCAAAAAAGGATCTCAGGATTACTGGGAGGTAGAACCCTTTCACACGCCTTCCAGAAACGCTCATCCGTTATGGTCTTCCTCTATGGCCGCGCATCCTTCATCTACTATTCTCGCACACCTTCATACACTGACTGCTGCAAACGCCGTCGAACAGGAAACTCACAGGAGTAGGTGGCGCCTGCGGCTGTAGATACACCGGATACTGGATGCAAGGTTGTGGCTGTTGTACCGGTACTGGTGCGGTGACTACAGACACCGAGGAACTGGCAGCAGTAGCTGGCGGTGTCGCAGGCAGCTTTGCCGCCACCGGCACCACCACTTCAGCGTTTGGTGCGGCTGCCTGGCCACGAGTAGGAGATCCATCAGGAGTGGTGGCTATAATGACAATTGAGAGTGAAGAAAAAATATGCCCATCCAGCTCGACACATTGAATCTCACTTGCTCCGTTTGCATTACCGCTGTTAGCAGGCTGCTCAGCATTGGTGTTAGCCGGTGCGGCGACTGGATAAATCATCGCCTGTGGAACTGGTGAACCGGGTGTGTACACATAAGCCTAAAAACATCAGTTATTAAATACATGGAGAGCGCCTTCAACTGTAATGTCGGCTGAATAGGGGATGTGAGGCTCTATGTTGAAGTATCACTGCATCGCAGGCGGCTTAGGCCTATTCTACCAATTTGCGAATGCGGAAAGTACGCAATTTGGGAGAATGCACCAATTTGGATAATCCACAGCAATAGTCAATTGGCGCGAAAGGAAAGTATTTGTATTGATCCGAGGAGCCCGGCCAACCGGAGAATCGGCTACAAAGGGATACGTGGTACTTGACTAACTCTGCCCATCACCGAGAACGGAAGTGGAACGTTTGAAAACTAGCGGAGGCGATCGATTCCCGTCAGGTTCTGCCTCTCGCCTCGGTTTCCACAAGGACGGACTCTTTAGATCAACACCTATTCAATCTTTGTCGGCGATCCTTTCCCGACATCCTGCGCATTCGCAAAGTAAAAAGGCAGCCTCAAGCCCCTATGACCAAAAGAATGAAAGAAACCTGTGGTGTGTTGACCATAACAAATGGTGGCTGCGGTGGAAAGGAATAAGTATAACCATATGTGGGTGACTGTACCAGTCCTGTTGGTGTAGCAATTGCATAATCTGCTACTATAATTATCGTTTGTAGGCAAACACTTTTTGGACAAAAGAAATTCAAGGGGCCAGCGTAATGAGAAGGGGCATATTGTTATTTCCTGTCAACGTGCTTGGTTATTTTGTAAGGCCCTGTAACTAACTTCTTATGTTTGTATCATATTGTAAGTACCAGTCGTTTCTGGCAAATTATTGTCGCTCATCCGCTTCAACAACTGGGACAAAACTGGTCAGGCGTCAGGCGCCGAGGCGATCCCGTCAACGGCTAATGCCGTTTGGACTCCAGAAATTTCGGCTCCGAGCTCATTTTAAAAGTGGCAAGATCACCAAATCCGCTAAAAACTTGTATATAGGGGTAATTCAACATCCTGATTACGAGTATGACACTCATTCTTGGCGCTGGCGCCAAGAGAGGACACTACGATTACCTCCTGGGCTCAGCCTTAGCAGAGCGCAGGTAACCGTAGTGTCATCCATTAGCGCCAGCGCCAAAAATGAATGTCATATTCGTGATCAGGATGTTGAATTACCCCTATATACAAGTTTTTAGCGGATTTGGTGATCTTGCCACTTTTAAAATGAGCTCGGAGCCGAAATTTCTGGAGTCCAAACGGCATTAGCCTCCGTCGACATGCCCCTTCACCCCGGCGAACAAGACTGTACCATGGTTTGTAGGTTTACAGAGTTCGGAAGACACAAAACTGCCAAAAACTGTGTGTGTTGACACGAGAAACAAGATGCCCCTTCCTATTAGGCTAGCGCCGTAATGTAAATCTGCAATAACAGCATCTTACCGGTAGAGTAACGCTGTGACATACGTCTAAGAGCCGGTCCGAGATTTAATTTGCGACCTTTAAACTCCAATTTTTCGGGAGACTGAAACACTCCACATAAATCTTCATGGACATCAGTCATTAGTTTGGTACGTGAAAAGAGGCTAGCAACCTCAGGAGGAACTATCAGTTGTTCGTTCCTGTGACGCCCTTCTCAGTTATACAAATTAATGAAAATACTAACCAATCCGCGAACTGTGTCCGCTTCGTCGTCGGTGTCAAACGTGATAAAACCGTAACCCTTAGATACGCCGTCAGCACTTCTAATCACTTTCACCTCTTTGATAGTAAAAAACTGTTCGAAATGCTCTCTCAGTTCCAGCTCAGTTGTCTGAAAATTGGCAAATAGTTAACGGGAAGAACGCTTTGAGCGCGAAACCAAAGGAATTCAAAGCAAAAAAAACTCAGTAATACGACAAATTATGAATAAATACCGGCTATTCGAAGACACCGTAACACCAACCATGACGCAGACTTAACCTGCACATCAAACGCGGTGTAGGACAGACTGTACAGAAGCGGCAATCAATACCCATGTTTTTGGTAGCGGAAACAAGCGCTCTCGGAGCCAACCCAATATTTCGCGATGTTGGGGGTCATCCCACAAATGCCGCGATACGACGTCTCACACCTTCCCCTCAGAACATCCAGGATGTAGTTCAAAAAGTACGAGTCGTAGCATCGCGCGCAAAGCGGCAGATATGCGCTAGCTAGTTGGTGTGGCGAACTGCAACTGCTACGTACAATCAGTTGGGTCCTGGTGCGAATGCGTCAATGAACAAATCGAACTCAGTTCCTTTATTCGCGTCAGCTTTCTTTTTTTTCTGTGCGCTCTTATGTCTGCATGACACTCTGTGACTTTGTACATTACAACTGTTCACGCATGATGAGGGGCCCAAGCATATTGAAATTCCTCTCAAGAAGAAACTTATCCCCTTACACACCGCTTGTTTTTCACTCTATCAATGCCTTTTCGGCCGCGATCCTCTATTACTCAACGCTTTAGTTTTTCGCGTAAGGACCTCCCCTAAAAGTTCTAGTGGTACATAACCGTGCAAGCGTCGGTCCCACAACACATCCTGAAAGTCGAACAACTCGTCCAGATCACTGAACCAGTGGATTGTCATAGTTGACATCCCATACGAAGTCGTAAACGTTGGCGTCAGTGCTCTTGCTTCTTAACAAATAATCAAATAATAATCACACTGGAAAAACGTAATTCAGTGATACGCAGGATTTGGACGAGGCGGTCGTTTGGCGCGATCACATTACAACATGTAATGACAATATTGGCACGTTTCCGCAAAGTTGGAGCAACTCGTCCGAATCGCTAATGTGCGGTTTTCGTAGTTGACAGACTATATAATGTCGTGAGTATTATCTGCGGTGTTCCTACTTCTCATCCAAGGCATCTCCCATCGATCAGTCGGGGAAAAGTTGTGGTTAAAATTTTGGACGAGTTGCCCTCCTTGGGAGGCTATTCGTCTGACATTTTTTGGGAGGCGGTCTTTTGGCGCGATTTCATTGCCGTTTACGTGTTCTGACAGGTACATGCCTACCGGATAACTTGTCCGAATCACTGAACTATAAGGTTTTCGTAATTTGTAGCCTATCAAAAGCCGTCACTTTTGGTTATAGTGCTCATTATTCTAACATAAGTTTTCTCTTAATGATCACTTAGGGATATACACTAGTTTGGAAGTTATGGCGAGTTGTTGCACCTGGAAGTCGGTTTGCCTGACATGTTCTGACGCGTAGACGACATACACTCTAGTTCTCTGCGGACGGTTGGGCGTGTCAGCCAGTATGAGTGTGTCACCCTATCAGAGCCGTTCTCTGCCTTCTTGTTGAAGAGCGCATGCGACAAAAAGTGGTAGAAAACGAGTAATACGAAGATATGATACAGTATTGTCACTTGCCCGCTTCAACAACTGGTGTAGAACGAGTTTGGCACCGCGCCAAACGCAGCCGCACTGACACGCCCAACCGTCCGCAGCGAACTACAGTATACACCCTTGGTAACGCAAAGGGGTTTTCAAATGATTGCATGACGTGTCACGACATATTAATGCCAGTATGATGACGCCATACAACACTTCTCCTTCCCACTACGTATATGAAAAACGCCTGTGGAGCAGTGATCCTAGAAGCGCTTAGAGCATTCCTAGTATCATTAGTCCAAGATCACTTACACTGGCTGGAAAGCCGCCGACGAAGACTCGATGAGGTATGAGTTCATAGGCAGGTGTCGGGATCACCGCAGTGGCACCAGTCGCATAATAAATTCCGGTCGACATATCATATACGGGCGAAGAAGCAAACGATGGAATCATCTGTAGTAATCGAACTTTCTATGGGTGTATTTTACTCATCATAGAAGTGTTTTCACTGGACGAACCTCAACTCAAAAAGAAATCCGCGCGTCAGAACGTCAACGTCACAATGTGTTACGCCGCTATGTGCGCCAAAGGTGATGTGTACGCTTTGCGGAGAGAACAACAAAAAAATGGAGAATAACTGAAATAAGTAGGATTTTTGGAGGACGGTGGTGAACAGGGTTAGGATGGATGAGTGTTGGAGAGTTAGGTTTCAGAAAAGAAATGGCCCATTGTAGGCAACCGCACACCGCGTTGGCATAGGGTGAAATGAGCGATGTTTCGAGAATCACCGCCTACGTTGATATTTGATCTACGAAGATGTCGATGGACGTGTCGATGGATGAAGCCTTCAAGCTGAGGATTCTGAAGCGGACATCGTCGTTGAAGGGCAGACGACACCCAGTAAGAGGGTGTCGTCCGAACACGAAATCCTCTGTCGTCTGCGGTCTCTCAACCAAAGTTAGAGCTCATGAATGCTGGGCTGACGATGTCATCGAACATTCGCAGATCACATGTCTGCTGAACATTACGGTAACTTCAACCAATACCTTCATTTCGTGATCTCGGTCGTTCCATTAATCACGAGCTTTCTATATTCCATAGTTTTGCTTTCGACTTTTGATTTTCAATGAAAATTGCTGCGCACAAGATTGGCCCTACTACAAAAGCAGTTCACCAAATGAACCAATACAGGGCGTCTTTACGTGCTGAGGGGGTTTATAATAAAGTCAACCTCACTGGGATGACCGTAGAAAGATGACCTGGCGAGTGGGGACCCGTCAGGACGAGGTGGTGCCAAAGGGGTGCGTGGAAAGAGAATCGTAATTCGCCGCGCCAGTGGGGGTCGCGTGCGGCGTCGCACCCGCTAATGATGAGGATTCTAGGTGGTAGAATAGACAATGTATGACCAAAAATAGACATGATTGTCTACCATGTCCTTGTCTACGTGAAATCCGATGCTCCAATCGAAAGGGTAGTGCAAATTAAGGAAACGTCGCGCCCACTGCCGCGCGCGACGAAGCGGCAATTTACGATTCTCTTGCCCGTCTCCCGTGCCAAATAGTGGATAAGACAATTGTAATTTGTTGCGTCGTCGCGGACAGCGCGTCATGCGGCGATGCGCGGCAAATTCTCGATCTGCATCAGTTTGATGATCAAAGCGAGGGAAAGAGAGAGAGAGGGAGACGTCACCGCAGCACATTCCCTCCCTCGAACCCACGTTAGTGCCAGGCTTAATGCTCAATGCGTGGATTTATCAACTACCGACCTTTTCTGTGACAAAGCCGTGAAGTAAATGGTCTTAGACGTAGTTTGCTATGGCCTCATTGACTTCACGCCAAAGTGCTACGTTGACTCAACTAGCTAGAAATGCTGGTTGCCATGTGCTGTCACGATGTCACGGCTCGGATGTCAACAACAATAACCGCGCACATGGAATGAAGCACAAAGTATGGGCCAGGAGCCGGAAACTTAAAAAACCCTGAGTCATTCTGCGTCTTTCATCTTTGAAAGAATTCCAACCATTTCCGTGATCTTTGGCGTCATTTTAGCGCTACATCTCCCCTGGACATATCGCCTTATTCTTGTAGGCGTGTACAGTTCCGCTCGCTGAGGGCAATAGCGTTTCAGGGGGCTTAGTTTGGCATGACGCAAGCCCGTTTTCCACCAACTGCGGTCGCCTACTATCTTCACGGCGTGCCTCTTAGCTTGTCGAAACCTACATCTAATCAAATTAATAGTAAATTTTTCATCATTTTCATGTGTTTGTAGAAGCGTTAAAGTTGAGAACATGTTTTGGTTTTACTTTCCCGAGGTGTAGAGCGTTTCTTTGTCGCGATATCGTGTACGAGTTGTCTTGGGAGATCGAGTCGGCGTGCAGCGTTTCTTCCAAGTCAACTAGCACTGCGATGCCGTGACTAGAGTCTAACGCTCCACACCCCACTCTGTGTGGTGTTCATAGTTCGCCTCTTCATTGCAGTCAGCGAAAACTGCCACTAGGATTAGACACGCATCGATCGAGCAGCGGAGAGCGAAACTGCGACCATGCTTTGCGACTAAGACGATGCAGACGCGCGATTTGGGTTCGTGCAACTGCCAGTGACCCCGCTCAATTGCTAATCATTGGACTGCTGCAATAACTGAATTAATCGCATTCACGATAGAACTTCCTTTGACCGTTGCAGCGTTCCAACAACTAGCGATGGTCCCAAAGTATGAACGCTGTTTGATCGCGTGGGTTGCGCTCCTCAAACGATCGAAGTATGAACGCAGCCTCAATCTGTTTATCGGGATTTTATGCGTGCTACTTGTCGACGGTCAAATGTATGACCAGAGATGTGCAGGAGTTCTATCCAGTGAATATGTCTCAGCGTCCTTGCTCGTGCAAAACCTGTATGTTACAGTGACAGATCGCCGCCTGCAGTTGAACGCATCGCTTCTACATGTATTGGCGATGAAGTCGTCATCCCTTGCTCTCGTTGCACCGATCTATCCAACAACTAGCGATGGTCCCGCAAAGTATGAACGCTGTTTGATCGCGTGGGTTGCGCTCCTCAAACGATCGAAGTATGAACGCAGCCTCAATCTGTTTATCGGGATTTTATGCGTGCTACTTGTCGACGGTCAAATGTATAACCAGAGAATATTCAGGAATTCCATCCAGCGAATATGCCTCAGCTTTCTTGTGACTCGTACAAAACCTGAATGTTACAGTGACAGATCGCTGCCTGCAGTTGAACGCGTCGCTTCTACATGTATTGGCGACGAAGTCGTCATCTCTTGCTCTCGTTGCACCCATCTAACCACAAGTGTATGCTGGCACCGGGCGTCTGTCTTTACCGTCAGTCCGAGGTATGTTCAATCTTTTCTTTTTCCTTTCATAAATCGTTAAGAGCATGCTTTTTAGCGCCGAAGTAATTTGAGGGGAACTGGGGCAGCGGGTAAGACTAGGTCACGCCCTTTGTTCGCTCGTCCGCCGCCGCAACCAAATTCACTGAACATTGTCTTTTTGAGAGGCCGCAGATGACCAGAAAAGAGGCGTGTCTGACCCCGCGACTGCTTCCATAAACTCGGCGCATGCGTTCCTTTGCTTTTTTGCCATCTTCTCAATTTTGAAATCATCCACCTTGAAATTGCATTATATATAACACATTTATTAAAGCATAAAAGCAACCGGACTGATGTATTGACATTAATGATTAGTGTTTAGAAAATCACATAACTAACAAATTAAAAGCATAACAATGAAATGCAGGTGATACTGAAGTGAAAATAATCACAATACCGATAATCAAATTTGAGGCCGCTTTTGCAGTCATACCACGTCTCATGAGCGCATATGAGCGGCAAAACTTGACATTGTTTACAATCAGTGCGTGTTTCCCAGTAGATCCTTTTTCCTCTAGAGAAGCGAATTGACGTTGAAACAGGCCAGCGTACTTCGGACACTTACATCATTGAGCCCCGTTATATTTGACCACTTTGTTTCAGGAGATTCGGAGATTGCGCGAAAAAGGTTAAATACGTAGTGATTTGAAAATCCGTATGAATTCCGATTCCCCGTTCAGCATTGGATGTGAGCGAGGATCATGAAAGACTCGGCCACACCCAGTCAATGTGCTGTTACGCAAAAAGGGCGCGACACGCGAGAATTACGCGTGTGATTGGTTAATTGTCTGGGACCACCAATCACACACGCGCATCGCGCTTCTCTTTGTGACCGCAGCAGACTTTAGAGTGGATCTGTCTTCACATTAAAGGTACATTCGACGACAGGAACCATGAAGGTAGCGGAGTTCTGATGTGGAGTCGTGAATGATGAGCACCGCACCTCGTCATCCAAAAAAATCAGAAGAAACCGTTGTACCAATCCTAAATAACACCCATCTCTGTGCAGCCAGTTTGAAAAAGGAACATACGGCGAAGAAACACTGAGTCCTCGTACGAGAGACCAGGCGACAGAGGGTGAGAGAGCACGAACAAGGCCGCGACTATTCATGGGATGCGCTTTAAGACATAATAAGTGATGTATGCTTCATGTACTAACTTTTATGTGAAGGCGTCCTAATTGCAACAGGAAACTAAAAGACGTATTATTAGGTCATCTTCCAACTGGGACCTTCAGTAATCGCTGCGTGACCTGGTGTAAGCTGGCAATCAAAATCGAATCACTATGTCATCTGAGGGCGAGATAGCATCATCATCATCATCGCTCTGAAGCTTCTCAGAAGTCAACGACCAGTCTTTTGGGTTCTCAGGAAATGACGTCGTCTTCACTTCGGTGACGTCATATGAAGCCGTTGTGGACTCGTTGCGTTGGGCGAGGATCCGAAGTATTTCACAGCACTGAAAATAATGGCAGTAGAATAGAACAAAACCAGGAGCTACTGCAGCTGAGGAGTCGCGCAACGACGCGTGACCCCCCCCCCCCCCCTCCCCCCACCAACTGTGGTAGCGTGATTGTTGACTAGCCTTGAACAGATGGACTCACCATGATATAGTTAGGGTCTCGCCGTTCTCTGTTGGTCAGTTTCGTTTCGGATTCATACCGGTGTCGATCGTTATGCGCCTCATCAATACCGTTTTGGAGGAGCGTCTCAACCTCGCTGACGTCACGGTCATCTGAACTTTCATTGTTTAATCGGTACAAGGGTGGTGTGTGGGGAAGAGGTGGTGCCGCTCACCAGGGGAACCGTGTGAGCGTAAAATCTTGAACCGGACACCTCCCAGGCCAACTAGAAGCTAACATTGAGCTATCGGAGATCAGTTGATTGGTACCGGTGTCTCCTGGGAGGAGTATACTCTTGTTCGCTACGGATGATGGGGCGTGCCAGTGAGGCTGGGTTTGGCGCGCCAAGATTAAGCGACAATAATTGGTGCAAAACGATTGATACGAATGACCTGATACAGTCCTGTCGCTTGTGCGCTTCAACAACTGGTGGAAAATGTGTTTGGTGCCACGAAAAAACCTATCCTACCTTACACGCCGCATCATCCGCTGAGAACAAGACTGACCGCAAAAAGTCGTTGTGTAGGCCAAACTACATTTGGGATGCTTCGATTCCGGCTGCAAGTAGGATGGGTGCCGTATCCAAAGGAACCGAAGGAAGGGTTCAGCGACGCCATAGGCCGCTCAGTCCTTTCTAGTCAAACTATTAGGAAGCGCAAAGCTATGTGCAGTTGTGTGGCTCTCTACAGTGTATAGCACATACGAGTTGCACAGCAGATCGGCTGGGAGAGCCGTGTCGTGGCGTCTCGACGTACTGTAGCACCTCCACTACAAACCCTAGGCCTGCCTGCGAGTGCCGCTCACGTGACGGCACTCGCAACGCGGCCTCGAGGACTCTGTTCGGCTAGAGGGGTATTGTGCCCTTTCCTACTTTCTTTCGCTAATCCCTGTCGAATTACGAGTCGCATCTCTGTGAGACTTGTAGATTCTTACCAGTGTGAACGAAGCTCCTGCTACTGCATAGCTTTACAAGGAATCAGTGGTCTCCACAGGAGGCAGTGGCAGTGATACATGGGAACCAGACAGATCAGACCCTCCAAGCCGAACTGCGCCTTTTATTAGTGTCTGTAGCAGCACTGTTACTTCACCTTCAGATCACACATCGTCCCTGCTCGAAAGTTCTTAGGCACTGCTCAAGTTTCGTCGAAGGCAGGGGAGGGGGAGGGGAAGAATGTGAGGTTTGGGTCA